AAAAAACATGGATGCTCCAATATATGAAGGTTTAAATGAATCACCTCCAACGAGTGAGTTAATTGCATATGCCATAGGCATGATTAAACTCACCAGGTCTACCAAATTGTAAATATTCCGGATATAATAATATGGTCTATGTATTATCTGCCTCATTTCCGAGCTCGAAAACACAGAACCTAACCCCAATACTATAAATATAAGCGTTTTCATCGCAATGTTTTTATCCTTTTCATCTAGATCTATCCTACCAGAGTCTAGCGTAACCATGCTCATGAATGAGATAAGGTACAATATATATACAAAAATTAAAAAATAAGCATATCTCCCAGCAAACTGTCTCCATTTGAAATTAATTATAGCCTCCATACTACGTTCTCCAAATAGGTCAATACGACCATGAAATACTGCATCGGCAAAACGGGAGCAGCACTCTTGCCCTTTATAAACAAGGTCATAAAAAGAAAAATCCGGATATTCGGCAAAGCCTGGGAGCGGAACCACACACATATGGCGTGGATGGGTACCGATCTTTTTATCGATAAGAAAAATTAGATCGTTAGTACCAATAGATAAAGTTGCCAAAAACAGCAATGTGTTTGTCTGTAGTACGACTTGTTTTATTCAGTTTACAATTACCTTATTTGCCTCATCGATTTCATCTGTTTTCCTCGGCGCGCTCATCTCGTGCGCTTCATCTGTCTCGCAGATAAATGCATGTAAATCTTTTTGGTTACTCCATACAATTTTCTCGTCCAAGGGTAAATCGCTCATAGATTTCATTAATTCTGAGGCGGAGTCTGGATATTTTGTTATCAGTTTTTTAAACACAGGAACAATGGTCAGCGTCCAAAATTCTGACTTTCCTTTTGCCTTTTCTTCGGTTCTGCGGCAGTAATACTTTAACAACAGACGAACCACCTTTGTCTTTCCTTTTGATATTGCGCACAATAGAGCAGACTCTTTGTTTTCGGAAGGAATATAAACGTCCTTTTGTAACAGTTCTTCTAACATTGAATCTGCAAACGCGCTATCCAGATCAATCAGTAAGTGCACCATGGATCTACCGTCTACGTACGCGTTAAATATTTGAGCGTTAGTGCGGATGGTTCTGTAAACAATCTCTTCGCATTGTTTCAATAGCTCAGAAAGGTGCCATCCGTGGCTCGAACCATGGTCTTTGGATTCCAGAAATTTACGGGCATACAATGCATGTAAAGTTGTTTCGAATTGAGTTGGATGTAGCGATAGTATCAGCTCTTCACTGGAGCCTTCGACAATACATTGAAATTTGAGGCCTTTCTTATCTCTACCTAGCGAAGGCTTGTCAATACTGTAATTTACTGCAGATATTGGTTTGCACCAAATGTATTGTAAGCTTTGTCCTTCAGACGTAAATTTCCACATCTGTATTGTTTGTCTGCCAAAAATAAGTACTTGCTCATTGCGTTCGTCTAGCAGAAACATTGTTATAGTTCGATTGTTCGGAGTGTCCCATGGTTCTACAATAAACTCAACAATTTCGCGCAATTCGTCCTGATTCCCGCCATTAACATACTTCATGTCTGTATCATAAAGTGTTGTGCCGTCGTATTTACACAGTTTTGTCTTTCCTTGCAACCGCTCCGTACCTTTGTTGTCGAATGAAGCTGTTAGGTCTGCTTCGGATAACGTCCCAATCTTCGGAATGCTCTCATCGCATTTGGCATACAAGACTTTTCCTGTAGATTGGAAAATGGGCATCTTTCCAAACTTATCGTATTCACTGATAAGGTCGTATGTATAAATATCCCATTTTGTTCCGCCGTCCGCATTGACAATCATTACATGTTTGTCCCCAATCCACACTAACTTTCTCACTGATTTACTGCGATCGCCTAAATGTTCTTTGGGGGCCATCGAAGACGAAAATAAGATACCGTCTTTACATGAAAAGATAGCAAGCCTTTCAGTTGGAGTCCAGGTTGCAAGCATTTTTCTGTTAGGAGAGAGGGCAAAAATGGTTTGTCTTGCATCGATGTCTACAAAATGACTGCTTTGACAGCGGGCCAACAGCTTGCATTCCGGTATAGACCAGAATGATAAGACGTCCCACTAGAAATAAATGTGATTGGAAGTAAATACATTTGTGCAAGCTATAAATACATCAACACTCTAACGCTAACTTACCTTTTCGATGCTCACAAAAAGCTCTCCGAATAGTGAGCTCTTTACGGATTCAATCTGTGTCCATGGATGTGATGCAGTTCGTAGATCATTAACATAGATGTCAATGTTCATTTTTCGAATCATTTGCCAATTGCTCGTTGAGTAGACGTAAAGATAGTGTTCTTTAGCATCAGCGACTACACTGCACGAAAGAAAGTTGGCACTATCAGTCGAGAATCTAATGGCTCCCTTCAGATCTATAAAGCGTGGACAATTGTCGTCGATATCTATAACGCAGTCGTCGCTTTCTATCCCCGTGACAATGTGATCGTCAGCAGTCCTAACCATAAATGTAAAAAATTTATCCGAAATTCCGGTTGCCAATCTAAATGGCTCTGGATCTTTATCCTCTTGCGGAAGCTTGATAATACTTAAGGCAACAAATTTGGCTATTGATAGAAAGGTGTTTGATACACATGGGTTTAGTTAATATATTGTTACAAGTTTCTTGTTTATAAACAACTATAGATGGTTCTCGTTTACCTTCATTAGCTAACGCAAAGTCAACGTTTGTCATCATTTGTGTAGCAGTAGAAGACGGATTAAAGCTTTTCTTTTCTTCTAAATATCCTCTTGGCTTTAACGCGATTTTATCGCTTTGCCACTTTCTATTCATGTTATTCACATCGTATACTGTGATTCTTCCTTCTTCCGCCGAGTACGTAGCCAGATGATTTCCGTCTGGGGAAAACGTGCAGGTATCTATCTTTTCAGGCTGCTCTTGTTTAATACTTGGATTGTTAATGGGTCTTTCGTTCATATTAACTACACAGTCATCTGCTGGAGGAGCATTGGATTCGTTGCACATGATAGAATATAGTTTTCGGAGCCTGAATAAGAGGGATCGCCTCTATTTAAGTGTGTGTACATTAATCAAGCGACGCTAATGGCGTAGTAACTGGTTTGACAGTTGATAGTATAGTGAAAATAACAGACATTAATATTCGAGTAGAAAAAGTAACAGTTATAATGAGTTCATGTTACTTTATTGTACGGTCTCACAACACATGACCTTAATTTGACATAACCTGCTTTCCGCAGAACTACTGTACCTGGTTCTACCTTTGACGTTTTTTCCTAACTTGAATGTGTGTGACAAACAAATTTCACATGAGAATCTAATCATATCATATCAAAATCAGGGGTATGATCATCAGACTTCTTAATAATATTTTCTTTGTTCATCCGATCATCTTGATAACATTATCACCTGACTATTCAGCTCCGTTCAATTTTCCTCATCTGATATGAGATAATGACTAGATTACATAACAGTGACTGGATAACCGATTACCCGACTTCTTTCACTCTTTTGTTCTAACAAATTTGCTAATCCTCTTCAACACATGGTTCTTATCTTTCATTTGTACAACCTTCTTATCACTAATTGTGTGTCATACCTGTCGTTCTTATCGCTTGCACCGCAGATGTCTCATTCCTTTGCACAGACTTTCTTTCCTCTTTACACTCAAATTTCTTTGATGTAGCATAATAATAAACGATATCAACAGATACATCAAACACTCGAGGAGCCCAACGGCAGAATTTTTGAAGCGAGAAAAAGACGGCTTTTACTAAGCGATAGCTGTATGAGGTTGGTATTACCGCTAACCAATTATGACAAAAAAGAGAAAAAGTTATGAGGCGTAGTGATAAAGAAAACAAAAAAGAGTTATGGGAGCGTGGAAATTCTTTGGAGAAGGAACATGGGAGTCGATTGCTCTATCTGCCTGATCGCTGTACTTGTAGTCCTGGCGTGGTAAAGGGTAGATAGTCGATCAACATCTAACAAACATCTGATCTGCAGTCAAACAATCATTGTCGGGCTTGGTAAGGAAATTGGTATACAGCCGTCTATTAATAAGCATGCATCCTATAATTAGACTGCTTGTCATCAATCGAATTGATGAGGTAATGTGAAAGAACAACTCAGGTAGTTTTTTATTGATGATTATGACTATTTTTATATTTGGGGTGAGAATTGTGCGACGAAGAATAACATAAGGCTATCGCATTTCATTCCCCTAACATACAACAAGGCGTTCCTATCGGCGTTAAAGGTGCAATTTCTGTATTAGTATCGTATGGAAGTTTATGTTTATTCGAAACTGACATACGTCAATTGGAATTTATGTCATTAGTCAACCCCGCTAATCCGAAACCCGTTAACCAAAGGACTAAGTAAATCCCCGCTAAACCGAAGGTAAGTTCTAAAACCTCTATATTAATATTAAATTTACCCCGATAAACCGAATTTACTATTGAACCCCGATAAACCGAATTTCTTAGCATTTCCCACCTATGTTCCCGACCCACTTCGGTTTAACGGGGTTCACTATGTAATATAAAAGTTAGATAAACGATTATCTATACTGCTATATAGAGTATTATTATATCAAATAATAGTTTGGTAGACCAGAATTTCTGTTCTTATATTTCTTGAATATACAGTAAATCAAATTAACTGATTACGGTTTGAACACACTTCATCGGTATAATTTAAGGCTGCGATGATTTTTTTCACAGTAAGGTTAATCAATCACCTTCGCATATCAAGTTGCGTATTTTTCTAGTTTGTTAATCTTAATGCTAATATACAGTCAACTCTCCCTAAATGCACACCCTCGGGACTGGAAAGTTGAGAGCGTGCATTTAGGGAGTTTGTACTAGTAAATCACGCGATAAATTTAATATGTTTATTGTAATTTATTAATTTTCACATTGCATAAAATACTGATCTATGTTTGTCTGCCGCATCATATTGGCTTTTCTTTCACTAATATACCTTTCAAGAATATCATTTTCGATCTCCAAGCTTTTTAATGCATCACTAGCACTGATAACAGTTGTTTTATTGCTATCATCCATATCTTCCAAGTTACTGCTACTTTCTCCTCCTATTCTACAAGTTCATATTGTCATCCAGTACCTCATAAACAACGTTGTCTTCAGCAATTGACAGAAACTCGTCAACTTCCATTGAATCTGAGAGATCGAGCTTTCCAAGTGCTTTGCACAGTTCATCAGAAATTGAATCTTCAATTGCACGAGAGATTGTGTAAGTCAACATCCATACTGATAGGTATAATTTTGGTATGACACCAGTAGTGTTGAATGGTGTCAGCTCTTACCTGATGTATGGATGGCCTGATGTAAACGATCAGCACAATGTAAAATCATGCCACGTTTGCAACTTAACATACTGCATGAGCTGGAGTTGAACTAAGGCCACTCGCTTGGAAGGCAAGTATTCTACCGCTATACTACTAATGCAGACAAATCACGTGTGATGTTTACATTTATCTTTATATTAATATGACCTCTCTCGGGAGATTAGAATAGGGAGAGAGTGCATTTAGAGAGAGTTGACTGTATTGACAATGAAGTAATTGATTAAATTCCAAATGAGACTTTTTTTGCAAGAGAGGGTTATATAGAGGAAAATATAGAAGAAATGAAGGATAGAAAGGAAATAAAAATAAGAGTCGACAGAAATTAATATTAGATGTCTTAAAGCGATTGGAATTGGTACAAGAGTTAGAGCTATTGATTATTGTTATTATCGATTTCTTATTATCATCTTATTCAAATAACTCGTTTGGTTTTCTTTTTAGTGTTGAAAAGGCGGGGTGGGCGTGAACTAAAGAAATTTTTATAATGAAGTAAAGAGGGATAAACTATTGTTGTAAAATAAAACAAGTTAACGTAATTATTAATGTAATACACAGTGAACCTGGATATAACAAAATTTGACTATTCCATAGACTGTTTTCGGTACAAAATCGCTTTATATCTCCTGTATTGCTGAATATATACCCAACATATATAGTTTGTTAGGGCTATGGTTGAAAAAATTACGTGACTTGTAATTCCACCAGTCGTTCTATAGGGCCTATTCAAACTCGCACCCAAATTTCCTCGAAAATCTAGCGATGTGATTGATTTTGAATTCTTCGAAAACTTTGATTGGTTATGACCAGAGTTGGCTTTAAAAATGGTCGTTATCTACGTACTAATCAAGATAACATTCAAAGTCAAACTACAGACGGTTTATATGCATCTATGCCGTTCTGAGTACATTAGCTTACAGTTGATAACATATCAAACAATCTGTAAAGCAACTTTTGCCCTTTTCATTCACATAGTAAGTATCTACGGTTAATTATGAGGACGTAGCAATATGTTTATTGGTTAAGCGTCACTTCTACCATTTTGTGAGCAACAAGATGAATACATATTATTTTTGTTTTAGTAAGCGTCTCGACAAAATTAATGCTGCGTCTAGTCTACCTTTATTGTCATCATATTCAAAATTTGCGGTAATACAAAATAGGAAAGTGGTACCCTTTTATATC